GGGGAGAGCAGCGGCTTTTACCAGACAAACCCGTCCCCGGGATGCTACAGTGCCCTGGAGCAGGGCAGCCCCCCGCCCTACACCGCCGGCATGGTGCCGGAGATGATCCACTCCGAGATGGACTCCAACTATTGCCCTCCTGGCAATGTCCACGGGCGGTTCTTCGTGACACCCACCTTCGGGGGCCCGCAGTTCGTTGAGAACATTAAGCCCGAGCCTGACATGGACAATTATGGACCGGTCCTGGGTCTGGTGCCCCAGGCTTGCCCAAAGATCAAGCAGGAGGGCAGTGCAACCTGCATGATGGCCTATGAGCAGCCCCGGGTGGCCAGCTCCCCCCAGATCCCTGGGGCAGAGACACCCCCACTGAGCCCCGACGATCTCATGGTGAATGACTGCCACACACAGATGATGTGCCCCTCGTCCGTGTCCTTCCAGCAAAGCTACCACCCAGCCTCCAGCTTCCACCACCCGCAGACCCATCTCCAGTACCAGAACACCTCCCAGTTTGGCCTTTTTGAGGACAGCCTGCCCCTACAACCCTCTGCTCCCAGAGGCATGCTCACCCCTCCTTCCTCCCCTCTGGAGCTGCTGGACTCCAAACCCAAAAGAGGACGTCGGTCCTGGCCGCGGAAGAGGACGGCTACTCACACGTGCACCTATGCGGGTTGTGGGAAGACCTACACCAAGAGTTCGCACCTGAAGGCCCACCTCAGGACGCACACAGGTAAATACAGCTGGTTGCCTTCGTCCGGAGATATGATACGCTGCTTGCCGGTTGCGGTAGCAGCCTGGATAAAACAGTTTGCAGCCTGAGCTTTAACCCTGTAGTCTCTTAAACTCCAAGTGTATTCACGGTTGAGCTGTGACAGGTGGTCAGATCTATAATGTCTGGGTGTTTTCCTATGTGTATATAGGTCAAAGCTATTCTCAGCTTTGCCAAAAGAGTTTTACTGCGGGTAGAGCTTAGTAAAGGAGTTGCTGGAGCAGCTTAAAAGCGCTTGGATCTTGTCGTGGAAGGGCTTGGTAGCAAATAAAGGGATACGCTGAGATAACGTGGGAAGGTTGCCCAGCGTGCGGTGCTGCCCGTCGGTGGGAGTGCCGCGCTGAGTCACGCTCTCTGCTCTCTCCAACAGGTGAGAAGCCCTACCACTGCAACTGGGAAGGCTGCGGCTGGAAGTTCGCTCGCTCCGACGAGCTCACCCGTCACTATCGCAAGCACACCGGGCACCGGCCCTTCCAGTGCCACCTCTGCGACAGGGCGTTCTCCAGGTCAGACCACCTGGCTTTGCACATGAAGCGGCACATGTAGCCCTTAGAGGCTCTGCCCTGCCAACAACGGACGTTATTTAACTGCTCAGGTGCAGAAGCGTGAGAAACCTGTAGCTGGTACTACGTAGGGAGGCACCGACGCTCTAGCGATGGGAGCTGAGGAGGATTTGACACAAGGAGACTTAGCCAGTCATCTCCTGCAGAGAACTTGATGTGACTGTATCAGTGAACCTGCCCGTTGCGGCCAGGAGAATAGGGGTTATTTATGCAGCTTCTGTGAAGGGTGAACTCCATAAGACTCCATACAGAAGAAGCTGTAAATATGTTCTTTTTCCAATTCTAACTGCCCAGTCCTAAGCTTTATGAGACAATGTTTGTATGGAAACTGCCTGAAGTTGACCCTAGAAGAGATTAAATGAATGTTACTGTAGCTAACGATGTTATTTTAGATCTCAGTTGAAGGCATGGCTAAGAGAACACTCCTATTGTTAGACTGTTTGTTTCACAGGTGCAATAATATTCTTGTTTGCCATGATCTACACTAGAAGTACAGGGCTTGATGTCTTGTAAGAAAATAACCTATTTTACTGTAATTTTTTTATATATTGTAAATAATTTTATACAATGAGAAATATTGTATATGTAAATAGAAGACAAATGGGTATTTTGCCTATTTCTGTTTTTATAAAAACGTAATTTTTCAATGTTTGAAAACATTTCATCTTTTTAATAAAATAAGTTTTTCAGTGCTGTGATTTTTATTCTTCTTTGAGGTCTCCCTGCTCTCCCAACAACCACCTGGGTAAGCTTTAAATTATATCAGCAACTGCAAGAAGATGCTTACAAATCGGAGCAAGGGATTGTTCTAGCCTAGATAACAGCACATACTTTGTTCTTAGTGGTAAACAAGACGCAGTGCAGAGCTCTAACAAATGAAACAGCAAAGCGGACCTTATTCAGAAGATACTTCCTAAAAATGGTTAAGCAAGCAACACTGTAATTTCAGTCTCATTTCTAGTTTATGCTAGACTATTTTAATAGCATCCTTAATGTTTTCCAGATGCAGTTACAGTTTTGCCAGCAGTGTGTGGGTTTTTACTATAAATTTAAACACTGCATTTTTGTAATTATGGAGGCTTATTTTAAGGCATTCTTGTACATAAATTATCCTTGTTCTCAAGAGCTCACTGCAGAATTCCAATAGAACAGTAGTGGAATTTAAACATAAATTCACAACACCGGTTCAAATACTTTCATAACTCATGCCCCAAAACAAAGTCACTGCAATAATTTGTATTCCCACCTAGATTTCTAGAGCTAAGAAAGAAATGCATTATTTTGGAGGAAAGGAAGTTAGCCAGGAATCCAGATTCTGAAAACCAACTTCAAATAACCTGGATGCTGCAATAAATAGCTGCAACAAGTCAACCTGAACCCCCCAAAAGCTCTTCCACAGCTATAAATTAGATCAGAAGTCCAAACAGTGCATCTCTGCCATTACTCTGAAACTCTGACGAGGATCCTCTGGTTTTACAGTTACAGTTTAGTAGTGAACCTGGATACTTGTGCAGGTTCAGCTGAATACTGGAGCATTTTTCCTTAACATCTGGATACCTGCAGCTTGATTTTCATCAAGACTGTGGCATTTTTCTGACTTTACAAGTTAGAATACACACAAATTAAATCAACAGGAATACATTTAAAGTAACTACAAATATAGCTATTCTTCTGTGAAAGCAAAGTCTGCTGTTGCTCATGTGGAACAGATGTATTTTGGGCTTCTAATCATTGACATGGAAGAATGAGTTCCACATTTCATTTTTATAGCTCTTTCAAAGTGAAATATAAGGGAGATTTAGCATTTCTTCATTAAAAACAAAGCTCATTTATTTGCTAGGAAAAAAAATAAATTGCACAATCTAATTCCAGAAAGTGAGGATGACTTAAAGATGTTCTAAAATTAGCACATGCATTGTTGCAACAGCTCTAGGTATTTCCCCATAGCCGAAGATTTTCGTATTTCAGCATGTTCTTTGGTGTTTAAGAGCACAGTTTTTGGAAGTTAAGGCTTAGGCTTACCCTTACCTGGCTTTCCCTTGCTCTTTCTGAAGAACTGGGAATGGGTTTAGTCATTCCCAGGTTTCAGTGATATAGTGCAATCTGAAACTCTTTTGTAAGGTAAGTAAAAAGACATGGAGGTTGGACACTGCTGCTGCGGGTGCAGCCACCTCTGCGTGCACAGCCCCTGTCTGGCTCAGGAAGGACTCCAGACACAGCTCTGCAGCAGTGGAGGGGAGCAGGGAAGCACCACAACCTGCTCATCCAGCTCTGCTCAGCCCCAGCCATCGCTCTTGTCTTCTGCAGAGGCTGCTGGGCCAGGCAGCCCTTTGCTCCGAGCACTTGGGTATCCTCCCAAATTCCGAGTGGAAGACAGCTACAGGCAGTGAACCAGCACGAAGCATCTGTGATGTCTGCAGGCAGAGATAAACGTTACTGCATTCACCAACCCTAAAACCCCCCTTGAATGGCTCCTCCTCTGGTACCTTTCCATGGGAGCATCCAAGCTTCCCTTTGCTCCAGGGACTAGTCTAGCTGGAAGGGTCACAACCTCTGCTCCTGTTCACCAGAAGGTCTTCAGATAAGACATTTGTTATCTGCATGAGCCTGTCTTACCAAACAACACTCAAATCATGATGAACAGTGGAAACGCTCTGCTCTGTGATGTTCACTGTGTCAGGATGAGCAGGTGTCCTTTGAGCTTTTAGATTTGTTGCGACTCATCTGAAAATAGGGCAAACCCACCCCCCAGATAACAATATATGGGTATAAAAGCCCCCATATAAATATAAAACCCTGACATAAAATGTAAAATTATGAAATACCCCATATAAAACGTCTAAATATAAAAAAATCCATATAAAATATATAAATACAGGCATCTAAAAGCAGGGAGGGACAGGGAGGACAAAACATTAACAGGAGTTCATGACCAACTTGATTTCGATTGTTTAAAGGAGAGCACGTTTGATAATTTCTGTGTGGTCTTTACAGGAAACTGCAGGTTCTTGAATCTTGAGATAATCTTGTAACAGAAAGAGATGCTGATCTCATTCTTCTCACATTCTATTATGAGTAACTGGCAACTCTCTTCTTTTTTTCTTAATTGCTTTAAATTAGTACATCCAAAGATGCGCTGATGTGATTCCACCAATCTCCCAACCCTCCCCTGGCCAGCAGGAAATCACTAAAGCTGCTCATTATTATTAAATAGACCATCGGGTCGTCATCTTTTAACTTTGTTTTGTTGTCATTAACACAAAAGACCCAGAATCCCATCTGCCTCCCAGGGAGCCTGAAGGGAAGCTCTGCCCTCTCCATCTGCATCTCTCCTGGATTTGATTCTGACACACTAGGGAAAGAAAGAAGTTGTGCTTAAACCTGATGGGAGGAAACGCAGAGCCCGTTGCAAACAAGATTTTCACACATATTCTCCTAAGATACCACAGTGATGGGCTCACTCGACTTGCAAGATAGATTGCCAGATTAGATAGAGCACGCTAAGTACAGGAGCGGGCAAATCTTGCACGATGTTCCTAGTGAAAGTTTTAGCAAGTATTTCTTAGCTCGAGACACCGTCCAAAGGAGTTACTGTTGAAAGTCAGCTCATTCCACGCTGGGTTTCAGAGCGCTGTGTTTCACTACGCTGCAAACGGCTTTTCTCTCACCTGCTGACTTCAGAGGAGTCAGTTAAATCTGCACTACATGGGAAGTCATCTTCAGAAAACACCGTAACACCGAGTCTGTTGCTGCTGAAGCAGCACCCAGAGCAGGACCGGGTCCTGCCACCCTATTGCGGTCGTTCGGTCGCCTTCCGGCTCTCGGTACCCCGCAGAGCAGCCCATCACCATGCCAGCAGCCTGCGAGCGAGCAGGCAGGGTGCTTTCAAATCCCCTTTGTCAGCCCTGAAGTGGAAGGCTGGACTAGAAACCCTCTGGCTATTCTGGAAGTTCATTTTAGAGCTGCAGTTTTTCAGATGATCACAGCTGGGGGAGTTGAAGTTTTCATTTTGGCCAAAGCTCCGCTCAAGCAGGGACAGGGGATTTCAGCCTGTGCGAGTCCTTGGTTACTCACAGCCGCTTTCAAGCTGCCTGAAAACATGGAGTGGTTCTAAACTTTGGTCCTCAGTCCACAAGAAGTGCCAAAAAAAGTCTGTCCATTCTTCAAATTATAGGACTGTGCGGTTCTGTGGTTTTCTGTGGTAGAAGCTCTGTGGTTTCTAAAGCTATTTTGTGCACCTATAACACAGAGTAGCTGTTAGGCTTTTCTTAAATTGAATTTTCGAAGCCAGAATCCCAAGCTCTAGCAATTTCTTTTGCTATATTTAAATAAAACAACTACAACAAAGTCATGTAGCCATCGCTATGGTAACCAGCAGTGTTGGGGGGAAACATAAAGAGGAAAATTCAATCCAAACGCCATGTAATTTAATAGGGAGAAAGCTATTCCCGTTGCTAACATCTGAAATGTACCTGGTGGCATCTACAGACCTTAAAATTCCTTGAGGTGGCCACGCTCAGCTGGGGCTGTAACGGGTCCCACCTGCCCAGGACTCACCTTATGTGCCACAATGGAGTGGTTGGAGCTCCTGAAAGTCACTGGCACTGCAGCAACCCCTCTCTGCCATGAAGACCCAGGCTTTAGCCCTGCTCCATTCAGAAACGTGCTTCCCATACATTTGGAGGAGAAGGGATAGGTTTACAAGCCAAATCCAGCAATCTAAAGCACGTAGCCATGCACAGTTCACAGGCCCTGGAGGTAACTGGCTCAACTTATTGATTCCCAGAGACTCCTTAAAAGCTCCATCCTATTTGATCCCAAACAACCAATTCCCCATCACTTAGGCTGAGATTGGGAATTGCTTCTGCAGTGGAATAATACTCTAAATTTAAAGCGTGCAGAGGAGACAGGGATTTCTCCTAAACTTGTTGGGCAGAAAGTAAGTTTGATTTAATCTTTTGAGGTCTGACTTTTCAGCCACAATTATTTGATCTTACAGTATTTTATGTAGACACAAAAAATGAGTCATATGCACTGCTTAATGTAACGAAGATGAATTAACTTTTACTAAAACCACCTTTCCAAGC